TCACAACACCTAGATTAGTGTTCGAATAACTGGGAGAAGGTTTGTGTTCACCCAGGCCAGGAATTTGACGGATCATCTTGGAGTTCTTCTTCCCACATATAGTTTTATTTATTTATCATTTTCCGAGGCAGAGTCTTACTCTGTCGCCCAGGCTGGAGTGCAGTAGTGCCACCTCAGCTCACTGCAACCTCTGTCACCTGTGTTCAAGCAATTCTCCTGCCTCAGCCTCCCGAGTAGCTGGGACTACAGGTGTGTGCCACCACACCTGGCTAATTTTTGTACTTTTAGTAGAGACAGGTTTTCTCTATGTGGGCCAGGCTGGTCTTGAACTCCTGACCTGAAGGGATCTGCCCACCTCAGCCTCCCAAAATGCTGGGATTACAGGCATGAGTCACTGCACCTGGCCCACATATACTTTTTGTTGAAGTATCACACACATGCAAAAATGTACAAGGCTCAGCTTGACAAATTCTCACAAACTCTACACACCCATTAATGACATACTGACATACTGGTCAAGAAACAGAACATGATCAGCCTCCAGAAGCCCGCCCCACCGTGTCTTCTTCACTCATTACCCTCCCCTAAGGGAATCACTATCCTTATTTCTAATGCCACAGATTACATGAGCCTGTTTTTGAGCTTTATATAACTTGAGCTACATAGTTTTGTAATTTATACTGTTTGTGAGATGCACTCATGTTGTCATATGTAATTTGGTTCGTTCTTTCTTTGTGTATAACAATCCATGGTATGAATATACTACTTGTGGTAGACGGAATAATGACCCCCAAAGATGTCTGAATCTTTACAGCTTTTCTGTAAATATGTATTTATTCCAAAATTAAAATTATTTTTAAAAAGCAAGGTATGCAGTAGAATCAGATACTTGCAGAAACCAATATCCAACAAAAAACCATACCCAGAAAATATATCTATATCTATATATAATATAGATATTACTAGAAATCGGTAAGTAATCCCTGGAATCTGTAAATGTGTTACCTTCTATGGCAGAAGGGACTTTGCAGATGTAAGTAAGGATCTTGACGGAGGATTACCCTGGATTATCTGAGTGGGCCCAGTCCAATCACAAGGGTCCCTTTAAGTGGCAGAAGAAGGTCAGAGAGAGAGACCTTTGGAGATGCTGTGTGCTGCTGGCTTTGAAGACAGAGGAAGAAGCCACAAGCTAAGGAATGCAGGCAGCCTCTAGAAGCTGGCAAAGGCAAGCAAACAGATTCTCCTATGGAGCTTCCGAAGGAACACAGCCCTGCCCACACTCTGACATTAGCTTAGTAACACACATGTTGGGCTTCTTACTTCCAGAAGTGTGAGATAATACATTTGTGTTGTTTTATGGCACTAAATTTGTGGTAATCTGTTACAGCAGCAATTGGAAACTAATACAGAAACTTTACCAATTTTTTTTTTTTTGAGACAGACTCTCGCCCTGTTGCCCAGGCTGGAATCCAGTGGCGCAATCTCAGCTCACTGCAACCTCCTCCACCTCCTGGGTTCAAGCGATTCTCTGCCTCAGCCTCCCAAGTAGCTGGGAGTACAGGCGTGTGCCACCATGCCCAGCTAATTTTTTGTATCTTTAGTAAAGGCAGGGTTTCACCGTGTTAGCCAGGATGGTCTCAATCTCCTGACCTTGTGATCCGCAGAGCCTGGCCTCCTAAAGTGCTGGGATTACAGTCGTGAGCCACCGCGCCCGGCCTACCTATTCTACTGCTGAAGGACACTGGGCTTTTCCCAGGTTGGGTTGTTACAAATAGTGCTGCTATACATATTCTTGTACATTTCTCTTGGTGAGAAAACACACCTGTCTTTCCTTTCTTTCTTTTCTTTTTCTTTCTTTCTTTCTTTCTTTCTTTCTTTCTTTCTTTCTCTTTCTTTCTTTCTTCCTTCCTTCCTTTCTCTTTCTTTCTTTCTCTTTCTTTCTTTCCCTCCCTCCCTCCCCTTTCTTTTCCTTCCTTCCTTCCTTCCTTCCTTCCTTCCTTCCTTCCTTCCTTCCTTCCTTCCTTCCTTCCTTCCTTTTCTTCCTTCCTTCCTTCCCTCCTTCCTTTGTATGGAGACAGTATCTCACTATGTTGCCCAGGCTGATCTTGAATTCCTAAGCTCAAGCGATTCTCCCACCTCAGCCTCCCAAAGTGCTGGAATTACAGATGTGAGCCACTGTGCTGGGCCCACGCTTGCATTTCTGTCAGATACATACCTAGGATTGGCATTGCTGGATCATAAAGTATGGGTGTGCTTCTCTGTAATAGAAGCAAGCAGTTTTCCAAAGTGGTTATGCCAATTCACACCCTTATCAGAAGCATATGAGTTCAGCTTGTTTCACATCCCTAGTAACACTTGGTATTATCTGTAATTTAATTTTAGCCGTTATAGTGAGTGTGTAGTGATACTGTACTGTGATTTCCAATTCTCTGATGTCTTAAGGAATGAAAAATATTTGCATGAACTTACTGGTATTTTGGATAGCTTGTTTTTTTTTTTTTTTTTTTTTTTTTTTTTTGAGACGGCATCTCGCTCTGTCGCCCAGGCTGGAGTGCAGTGGCCAGATCTCAGCTCACTGCAAGCTCCGCCTCCCGGGTTTACGCCATTCTCCTGCCTCAGCCTCCCGAGTAGCTGGGACTACAGGCGCCAGCAATCTCGCCCGGCTAGTTTTTTGTATTTTTTAGTAGAGACGGGGTTTCACCGGGTTAGCCAGGATGGTCTCGATCTCCTGACCTTGTGATCCACCCGTCTCGGCCTCCCAAAGTGCTGGGATTACAGGCTTGAGCCACCGTGCCCGGCCTTGGATAGCTTGTTTTTTGTGAAATGCTTATCCAAGGCTTCTGCCAATTTTTCTACAGGATTATCTTTTTTCTTATTGCCTTACATAAGAATTTTTTTTTTTTTCCTGGCCAGGCGCGATGGCTCATGCCTGTAATCCTAGCACTTTCGGAGGCTGAGGCGGGCAGATAACTTGAGGTCAGGAGTTTGAGACCAGCCTGGTCAGCACGGTAAAACCCCGTCTCTACTAAAAATACAAAATTAGCTGGGTGTGGTGGTGTGCACCTGTAATCCCAGCTACTTGGAAAGCTGATGCAGGAGAATTGTTTGAACCTTGGAGGCAGAGGTTGCAGTGAGCCGAGATTATGCCACGGCACTCCAGCCTGGGCAAAAAGAGTGAGACTCCATCTCAAAAAAAAAAAAAAAAAAAAATTATATATATATACCCATGTATATATTTTTTTCTGGATAAAATTTATTTTCTGAATATTAGTTTTCACAAATATATTCTGTTAGCTTATCTTCATAAAATTTTGAAATAAATGTATATTTATTCTTCTATAAATGTATAATTATAGAAAAGTTGCAAAGATAGTACAGACAGTTCCTGTATCCACTTCACCCAGTTTCCCCTCATATTATCATCTTTTTTTTTTTTTTTGAGACGGAGTCTTGCTCTGTTGCCCAGGCTGGAGTGCAGTGGCCGGATCTCGGCTCACTGCAAGCTCCGCCTCCCGGGTTCACGCCATTCTCCTGCCTCAGCCTCCCGAGTAGCTGGGACTACAGGCGCCCGCCACCTCGCCCGGCTAGTTTTTTGTATTTTTTAGTAGAGACGGGGTTTCACCGTGTTAGCCAGGATGGTCTCGATCTCCTGACCTCGTGATCCGCCCGTCTCGGCCTCCCAAAGTGCTGGGATTACAGGCTTGAGCCACCGCGCCCGGCCATATTATCATCTTAAATTACCTTAGTACATTTGTCAAAAGTAATAATTTAAGATTGGTAATTTACTATTAACTAAACTAGAGATTTATTTGGATTTCACCAGTTGGTATATCCCATTACATTTAGTCATTATATCTTCCTGGTCTCCTTTGATCTGTGGCTGTTTGTTAGTCTTTCCTTGTTTTTCATGACCTTGACAGTTCTGAAAAGTATTGGTAAGGTATTTTGTAGAATGTCCCTCAATTTGGATTTTTTTTTCTTTTTGGCCCAGGCTGGAGTGCAATGGCATGATCTTGGCTCACTGCAACCTCTGCGTCCCGGGTTCAAGTGATTCTCCTGCCTCAGCCTCCCAAGTAACTGGGATTACAGGCATGCACCATAACGCCTGGCTAATTTTTGCATTTTTAGTAGCGATGGGGTTTCACCATGTTGGTCTGGCTGGTTTTGAACTTCTGACCTCAGATGATCCACCAGCCTGGCCTCCCAAGGCTCTGGGATTACAAGCGTGAGCCACTGTGCCTGGCCTCAGTTTGGATTTGTCTGATGGTTTTCTCATGATTAAACTGGGATTGTGGATTTGGGAAAGGAGAACCATGGAGGTGATATGAGCTTCTCATCATATCATATCATACCATATGAGGGCATATGTGATGTCAACATGACTGATTACTGGTGATATTGAAGTTAATCCCTTGGTTAAGGTAGTGTCTATCACGTTTCTCCACTGTAAAAATAATGTTCTCTTTCCATATTCTTTTTTTACTTTTAAATTTTAATCTATTTATTTATTTTGAGACAGGTTATGAGACTGGCTCATTTTTGTACTTTTGGTAGAAATGGGGTTTCACCATGTTGCCAAGGCGAGTCTTGAACTCCTGGGCTGAAGCGATCCACCCACCTCAGCCTCCCAAAGTGCTGGGATTAAAAGTGTGAGCCACTGTGAGCAGCCTCTTTCCATACACTATTATTTGAAAGTGAGTCCAGTCCGCACTCAAGGGGAGGGAAACTAACTTTCATCTCCTGAAGGAATGGATTTTTTTGTTTGTTTGTTTTGTTTTGTTTGAGATGGAGTCTCCCTCTGTCACCCAGGCTGGAGTGCAGCAGCGTGATCTCGGCTTACTGCAACCTCCGCCTCCTGGGTTCAAGCAATTCTCTGCCTCAGCCTCCTGAGTAGCTGGGATTACAGGTGCCTGGCTAATTTTTGTATTTTTAGTAGAGATGGGGGTTTCACCATCTTGGCCAGGCTGGTCTTGAACTCCTGACCTCGTGATCCACCCACCTTGGCCTCCCAAAGTGCTGGGATTACAGGTGTGAGTCACTGCTCCCAGCCAAGGAATGGAATATTTACACATATTGTTTGGAGTTCTTCTGTAAGAAAGACTTTTTTATTAAATCATTTATTTATATAGGCTCATGTATAATCATGTAGTTTATACTTTGGGTTATAATTCAACGACGTTTTTCCTTTATTTAGCAGATACTACATTCTTTACCTTATTTCCCAAATTGCTCCAACTTTGGCTATTGGGAGCTCTTCCACATTGCCTCCTGTGTCCTTTGACCTTCCTCCATCTTCTTCTCTTTTTATTTTTTAGCACTGCCTTAATTTCGGCACTGAGGTGGTACTGCAGAGAAAAGCAAACACACTCCAGAACCCGTGCACTGGATCCAGGAGTGGGTGGTGGAAAGGGATGTGGAGGGAGGGGTCTGAGCTCTAATACTAAAGACAGAGACTTAGGAGACCGAGAAGGGGTGTTTATGGAAAGTCAGGGAATTTTACTCCCCGAGGGGAGGAATCCTGTGTCATCCATCTTTGAGTCCCCTCCCCTGGGCTCAGAACAGTAAACCACGGGGTCAACAAGGACCATTCCACTGCCTCTCCCAGGTTCTCCAACTCTGTGGCTTACTATGGCCTGGCCATGAACCTGCAGAAGTTTGGGCTCAGCCTTTACCTGGTGCAGGCCGTTTGGAATCATCAACATCCCGGCCATGCTGGTGGCCACCGCCACCATGATTTACATGGGTCGCCGGGCCACGGTGGCCTCCTTCCTCATCCTGGCCGGGCTCATGGTGATCGCCAACATGTTTGTGCCAGAAGGTGAGTCACCCACTTCTGCCCTTGCTGCCCACCAAGAACTGGGAGCCTCTGGGGTCTGATAGACAACAAATTTCACGTGGCAACAATGCTGAGGGGTGTGTCTCCGGATCTGAAAAGAAAGCAACTGTTAGGCTGAGAACGGTGGCTCACACCTGTAATCCCAGCACTTTGGGAGGCCAAGGTGGGCAGATCACCTGAGGTTAGGAGTTCCAGACCAGCCTGGCCAACATGGTGAAACCCCGTCTCTACTAAAAATACAAAAAAATTAGGTGGGTGTGGCGGTGTGCACCTGTAATCCCAGCTACTTGGGAGGCCGAGGCAGGAGAATCACTTGAACCTGGAAGGTGGAGGTTGCAGTGAGCCAAGATCATGCCATTGCACTCCAGCATGGGTGACAAAGCAAGACTCCACCTCAAAAAAAAAAAAAAGAAAAAAGAAAGAAAGAAAGAAAAAGAAAAAGAAAGCGACTGTTGATTACTAGAGTTTGTATTAAGCACTTAGTGCCCAGTGGCAATTAGGGGCAGGTGGAGGCCTTGAGCCGTGGCCCTCAGAGCTTCTACTGTGTGGCCAGGGAGGTTAGACAGGTGCATCTAAGCAGCTGGAGAGCACAGGAGCTGGCTCCGTGTGGCCAGCAGTGTGTGCAGCCCCCCAAAGTCTGAGCAGGCAGCATGTCCAAGGGTTGAGAAGTTAGGATTCAAACCTCAGCTGGACTGGCCCTGGAACAGTGGTTTGCAAACCTGGCTAAAATGACCTTCACCAGGAGCACTTTGAAAACTCCCAGGGCCCAGGTGCTCCATGCCAGTGCCCTGGGAATCTCAAGGAGTGGGACTCAACCCTCAGTATTTTACAAACTGTCCAGTGAGTCCAGCAAGATGCCAGTGTTGAATAGCAGCGACATAGAGCATGTGATAAATCCTTTGCCCATTGTGACTGCAGCCTTGGCTGTGGGCAGGTTGTCCAACTTCTCTGTGCCTTGGCTCTTTACCTGTAAAAGTGGATAAATGTTATTATTGGTATCTTGATCTATTTTCTTCCAATCTTTTTTTCCTATTTATAGATTTGTATTTAGCATAGTTGAGATATTTTATATGTTTATACATACAAAAATATAAATAGGATACATACATCTATATGTATATATGTGCATGTGTACATATATATAATGTGCCCTTATTTCATTATATGTTGAAACATACACATGCTTTTCCATGTTAGCACAAATGTTTCATGGACCTGATGATCACTCATCGCCCAGACTGGAGTGCTGTGGTGCTCACTGCAACCTCTGCCTCCTAGGTTCAAGTGATTCCCCTGCCTTAGCCTGCAGAGTAACTGGGATTAGAGATGTGTGCCACCATGCCTGGCTAATTTTTGTATTTTTAGTAGAGACAGGGTTTCATCATTTTGGCCAGGGTGGTCTCGAACTCATGACCTCAAGTGATCTGCCCACCTCGGCCTCCCAAAGTGCTGGGATTACAGTCATAAGCCACTGTGCCTGGCCTCATGGACCTGATTTTTTATTACTATATGATCCTTCCTTCCTTCCTTCCTTCCTTCCTTCCTTCCTTCCTTCCTTCCTAATTTTTTTTTTTTTTAGACGGAGTCTTGCTCTGTTGCCCAGGCTGGAGCTGCAGCCGGATCTGCTCACTGCAAGCTCCGCCTCTCCCGGGTTCACGCCATTCTCCTGCCTCAGCCCTCGGTAGCTGGGACTACAGGTGCCCGCGCCACCTCAGCCCCGGCCAGTTTTTTGCATTTTTTCCAACACCGGTTAGCTGTGATGGTCTCGATCTCCTGACCTCGTGATCCGCCCGTCTCCGGCCTCCCAAAGTGCTGGGATTACAGGCTTGAGCCACCGCGCATATTATCATCTTAAATTACCTTAGTACATTTGTCAAAAGTACACTTAAGATTGGTAATTACTATTAAATTCAAACTAGAGATTTATTTGGATTTCACCAGTTGTGCATCCCATTACATTTAGTCATTATAATCTTCCTGGTCTCCTTGATCTGTGGCTGTTTGCTGTCTCTTCCTGTTTCATAATCTTGAGTTGTGCCCTGAAGTATTGAAGGTATTTGCAGAATGTCCCTCACCTGGATTTATCAGCTGGAGTAAATGGCGCTGACCTTGGCTCACCAAAACCCTGTCCGGTTCATGACTCTCCCGCCCAGCCCGCAACCGGAATCGTCCACACAACCCTACCAACCCCACCTGCGCTGCCTGGTTTCACCATGTTGGCCCGGCTGGTTGGAATTTGACTAGATGATTCCACCCAGTTTGGCTTCTGTAAGGTTTCGTCCGATGTAAGGTGAGCTGCACAGTTTGGCCTCAGTTTGGATTTAATTGATGGTTTTCTCATGATTAAACTGGGATTGTGGATTTGGGAAAGGAGAACCATTAGAGGTGATATGAGCTTCTCATCATCATATCATACCATAGAGGGCATATGTGATGTCAAATATGACTGATTACTGGTGATATTGAAGTTAACCCTTGCTGGTGCAGTGTCTACGCTTTCCACCACAAAATAATGTTCTTTCCATATTCTTTTTACTTTTAAATTTTAATCATTTATTATTTTGATATGTTACGAGACTGGCTCATTTTTTGTACTTTTTGAGAAAATGGGAGCCACCATGTTGCTAAGGCGTCTGAACTCCTGGCCAGCCATCCACCCACCTCAGCCTCCCAAAGTGCTGGATTAAAAGTGAGCCACTGTGAGCAGCTCTTTCCATACACACTATTATTTGAAAGTGAGTCCATCCGCCCAAGGGGAGGGAAACTACACCTTCATCTCCTTAAAGGAATGGATTTTTTTGTTTGTTTGTTTTGTTTTGTTTGAGATGGAGTCTCCTCTGTCACCCAGGCTGGAGAGTGCAGCAGCGTGATCTCAAGCCAGCACGCAACCTCCGCCTCCTGGGTTCAAGCAATTCTCTCTGCCTCAGCCTCCTGAGTAGCTGGGACAAGGTGCTTTAAGTGCTAGTTAATTCGTATTTTTACAGGGTAGGGTTTCACCATCTTGGCCAGGCTGGCCCTGAACTCCCTGACCGCGTGATCTACACCCACTCTGCCTTCCCAAAGTGCTGGGATTACAGGCAGTGAGTCATTGCCCAGCAGTGAATGAATATTGAGCACATATTATTGTTTGGGAGTTCTTCTGTAAGAAAGCTCTTTTTGCCAATCATTATTAAGTATAGGCTCATGTATAATCATGTGCTTATACTTTTATTATGGTTCAACGATCGTTTTTCCTTTATTTAGCAGATACTACACTTTACCTTATTTCAAAATTGTTCTTCACCTTTATTGGCTTGGGCCTCCCATTGCCTCCCAGTCCTCGACTCCTTCCTCCTCCATCTTTCTCTTTATTTTTGGGCACTGCTCAATTTCGGCACTGAGGTGGTACTTATAGGGCAAACACACTCCAGAACTGCACTGGATCCAGGAGTGGGTGGTGGAAAGGGGATGTGGAGGGAGGGGCTTGAGCTCTAATACTAAAGACAGAGACTTAGAGACCGAGAAGGGGTGTTTATGGAAAGCTGGGAATTTTACTCCTCAGGGAGGAATCCTGTGTCATCCATCTTTGTCCCCCCTGGGTCAGAACAGTAAAACCACAACAATAAGGACCATTCCACTGCTCCTCCCAGGTTCTCCAACTCTGTGGCTTACCATGGCCTGGGCCATGAACCTGCAGAAGCTTGGGCTCAGCCTGCCTGGTGCAGGCCGCTTGAATTCATCGATATCCTGCCATGCTGGTGGCCACCTGTTCATGATTTATGATGGGTTGCTGGGCCACGGTGCCTCCTTCCTCATCCTGGCCGGGGGTCATGGTGATCGCCAACATGTTTGTGCCAGAGCAGAGTCACCCACTGCCCTTGCTGCCCACCAAGAATCAGAGCCTCTAAATCTGATAGACAACAAATTTCACGTGGCAACAATGGCTGAGGGGTGTGTCTCCTGATCTGAAAAGAAAGCAACTGTTAGTGCTGAGAACTGTGGAGTTACATTTAGATCCATTTTGGGAGGCCAAGGTGGGCAGATCACCTGAGGCTAGGGTTCCAGACCAGCCTGGCCAACATGGTGAAACCCCGTCTCTACTAAAAATACAAAAAAATTAGGTGGTGGCGTGTGCACCTGCATCCAGCCAGTCACTTTGGGAGGCTGAGGCAGGAGAATCACTTGAACCTGGAAGTGGAGGTTGCAGTGAGCTAAGATCGTGCGACAGACCAGGCGGTGACAAAGCAAGATCACCCCAAAAAAAAAAGAAAAAGAAAGAAAAGAAAAGAAAGCGACTGTTGATTAATGCTAGAGTTTGTATTACACTTAGTGCCCAGTGGGCAATTAGGGCAGGAGGCCTTGAGCCGGGCCTCAGAGCTGGCCAGCTGGGGGAGGCTGGGACAGGTGATCAAGTAGCTGGGAGAGTACAGAGCTGGCCTGTGGCCAGGCAGGTGCAGCTCAAAGTTCGAGCAGGCAGCAGCTGTCCGGCGGGTTGAGAAGTTAGGATTCAAACTCTGCTGACTGGCCTCTGAACAGTGGTTTGAAAATCCACAAAATGACTCACTCCAGGAGCACTTGAAACTCCCAGGGCCCTGTGTGCTCCATGCCAGTGCCCGAATCTCAAGGAGGGACTCAACCCCCAAGATTTACAAACTGTCCAGTGAGTCCAGCAAGATGCTGGGTGTTGAATAGCAGCTTTGAGACAGAGTATGCATAAACTCCTTGCCTATTGTGACTGCAGCCTTGGCTGTGGGCAGGTTGTCCAACTTCTGTGCCTTTGGCCTTTTATCAGTAAAAAGGATAAATACATAGTATCTTTGATCATATTTTCTTCCAATCTTTTCATTTAGGGATTGTATTTAAATAGTTGAGATATTTTATATGTTTATACATACAAAAATATAAATAGGATACATACATCTATATGTATATATGTGCATATGTACATATATAATGTGCCCTTATTTCAGATGAGAGAAAGAAACATACATGTTTTCCATAGCACAAATAGTCATGGGACCTGATGATCACCTATCGCCTCAGACTGAGTGCTAGGAGAGCTACCACCTCTGCCTCTGAAGTCTGGGCGGATTCCCTGCTCAGCCTGCAGAG